TTCGAAACGGTTATAACCCCAGAGGGCTCTGGCAATCGATATCACCTTGAAACTCCTGCTCTTAGCCTAGAGCCTGGTCTCACGGTCTTCGAGGTAGTTTTAGCCCTCCTGGATGTGGATCCCCAGGTACTTGTATTGTGATACCCATGGTACTTGTTCCCCATGGATTATCAGGTCATCTGCCTCGCTGTCTCCTCTGTCCCTGAAGCCCATTAATGCCGACATCGTAGCACTGAAACTCAGCCCCTGTGCCGCACCCAATTGTGTTGCACTCGTTCATGAGGGCCTGCAGGCCCGCCAGGGAGTCTGCCATCAGGGCGATATTGTCGGCATAGATTAGCCCAGGGATTTTTCCTCCCCCGCTGGTTCCCGCCTCCTTATAATCCAGGATAGAGCCCTAGGCGCAGTCCTGCAGTCTATTTTCGAAGCCCGCTAGGTAGAGCATAAACAGCAGTGGCGACAGAGGTCATCCCTGTCTTAGACCCTTGGTGATGGCTACTGGATAAGTCATCTTTTTGCCACTTTGCCACCACAGTCGTCTCCCTGTAGATTTCCTTCAGCAGGTTGATCCACTCCCCTCCGAGCCCCCGCTTTTGCTAGATCCCTCCACAGCTTCTCATGGTCGGCTGAGTCGTAGGCCCTGCTGATATCGAGGAAACAGAGGTCCAGTGGAAGCCTCTCCCACTGGGCGATCTCTATGGCCTGGCCTGCGTAAGCACAAATAAGTTGTCCTCAAGGCGTCTCCCCCACCGGAAACCGTTCTTTAGCTCCCCCAGGACTCCTTCTGCCTCTGCCCATGTCTGCAGTCGGTCTCGTTTTATCTGTGCGAACTCGCGGAAGAGTACCGATGTGATCGCTATGGGGCAACAGTGGCCGAGCGTTGACTTTTGCCCTTTTCCTTTGAAGATGAGTCGGAGTCTTGATGTTCGCCAATTCACCGGCACCCATTCTCTCTCGGGATCTGTATGAGGATCTCACGCAGCCGTGCTCTCGTCTCTGGCCCCAGTTATTTCACCAGCCTCATTGCGATACCGTCCATTCCAGTGGCTGTGTTTCCGCCCATCTTTTTGACTGCTCTCTTTAACTCCCTCTCCATAATTCTCTCTCGGCACGGTTGCTCCTGCAGTTCGTCCTCCGTCTCCCCATCCTCGCTCTCAATATGTCGGCTGTCCCCTGCGAACATGTTCGCAATCCGCTTTAAATGTACCAGTTGGTTTCTCCAGGATCCAGCTCCCCTCCCGTCGCATCGTCTGTGATTACCGCACCCTCCCTTGGTCGGCCTGTTTGGCCCTGTTCATGTCGCAACAGCTTCAGTGGGGCCTCACGTCTTGCCTCCCGGAGTTCTTCCAGGAATCTCTTATCTACCCTGGCCATCTTGCTTTGAATCAGAGCTGTCAACTCTATTTGCCTGCTCTGGTATTCCCTCAACTCTCTTGAATCCTTCTGTAGGGCGGCTTTTTTTTTCCTCCTTTAGTTTCCTGATGGTCCCACGCAGAGTTCTGTCTGCCAGTTGCCTTCTTGCAATGGCCTCCCTCACCTCCACGTCCCACCATCTTTTTCTCCTCCTCTTCCTCCGTGTCGGTCTTTTTAGTTTTTCGAGGTGGTCCTTCCACTACCGCACAAGGCTCTCATACGTCTTCACCTGCCTGGTTTCCACCTCTTCTTCCAATTTTTGTGCAATGCATGGTTTGTGCTTCAGCTCGCGTTATGTGGTGTGGATTCATAGGTTCACTGACTCTCTTTTCCGTTGGCTTTCCTCCGAAAGTGATTACCAATCTGTTATGATCACATCCCAAACTCTTGTCGCCTTCCTTTATTTAGCTCCATGTAGTTCAGTTTTTCCTACAGGCCCGGAGACACCACACAATAATCCTCCGGGAGCCCTCGCGGCCGGCGTAACTTAAAAATTTAATAACTTAACGAATTTTTTTTAATATTTTGAATATTGGTTTAGATATGAATATTGATGCGGTCTGCAAATTTCCAGTCAAATCGCAGTCTACCAAAAAATTAGCGGAGTTCTTCTTTAAGATGCAGCACGTGAAGCTTGCTCTCCAGATATTTGACAGCTCTCTTCAGAGTGCTCTTCGTGCCATTGGAGATAAACACAACCTGAAGTTTTTCAAGGAGACTGCCACTTTTATTGAGATTATACTAACATGGTGGAAAGTCGTGAATGTCAAGACACCCGACAAAGGAAGCAGGCTGAAAGATAGGTTCCAAGAGCCTGTGCACCCGGCTCTAAACGACGAGAAGATAGATTTTCTTTACAACATTTTAGACTGGTTGGATGAATGGCAAAAAAATGCAAACAAGTGCAAATCCTTAACTCTCCTCGCGCCATGAGGGGAGAGAAGGGCTCTTCCATAGCGCAGACGACAGCCCACGAGCGCAAAGTCTACAAAGTGTCGCCCTGAAAGCTGTCGTTTTAAAAGCACCGTCAGTACCCAGAATTAACGATGTTTGCAAGCTACGTAATGCAAGAATGGCGCCCCGACTGGTGCTCCATGTGTGCAAGCACGTGCAGCGTGCGCGTGAACATAGTTTTGAGGAGCTGGAAATTTCACGGGCTATTCCGCACGAGCAGACATATGGCGGCGGCCAGCCGCCCTAGTAGTCTATATGGAGTATTCACTAGACGCGATATATGAGTGCGCTGTTTAGAGTGCATGCTGGGAACAAACAGATTAATAGGCTGCCAAGAGCGGCAATCTTGATGAGGCGGAATGCACGTTGCAAAAGAACTGCTTAAGCTCGCCATCAGCACGCGCTCAGCATTCCTGCACGCAGCTATGGCCGCCAGTGAATACTCCCTATACTTTGGTTCAACTACACTTTGCTAGCCCTTAAAGGGGTACGGAAACGCAATGACGTGAGCTCCCTCGTTTCAAAATCAGCCAGCGGGAAGCGCAATGTGTATCACGCTCGTGGTGTCAATAGTTCTCGCTCGGACAAGGATACTGTAGTTGCGAGCCTTGCCGCTTGGTGGCGTCATCGTGTAACAATCGATAGTAATAATATCCGAGGACTGTACGCCCTATGGCCTATACATGGATTGCCCGTAACCATGGTGCCCGTAACGTCATTTACAGCCTTGCGGGTATTTTATGTGCCGCAAGCATTCGCTTCACCCTGTTAGTTTGACACCGCAGAAGTACTTGCTAGGGGAAACCAGCAACTAGAAATAACCGTCACTACCCAGCAATGGTGTATGGTTGGCTTGACAGAGGTTCTGCATCCTCAGATCAAGTTCCTACCTAACGTCTGCAAAGAACGGCGATCTAGATTGTAATTCACGTTGCAGAAGCACTGTAGAGCTGACACTGCAGCAAATTTCACAATCGCGAGAGCTCGAGGTCGCTGCTTTAAAGCGTTGTTTTGCAGAACAATTGAGCGCTCGCGCTAGAAATGCACGTCTCAAAGTATAGCCTTCTGTATAAAGAGTATTCACTGGGCGCCATATTTGTGGGTGTTGTCTAGAGCATGCTGAGAACGAGCTTCCATTAATAGGCTGCTAAGACCGGCCATTTTGACGGTGTTTTATGCACGTTGCAAAAGAACCCTGGAAGCTAGCCATCAGCACGCGTTCAGCAGTCGCGCACACAGCTATGGCCGCCAGTGAATACTTCCTATAGGGAGTATTCACTGGCGGGTATAGCTGTGTGCGCGAATGCTGAGCGCGTGCTGACGGCGAGCTTCCACAGTTGTTTTGCAACGTGCATTCCGCTCCATCAAGAGTGTCGGTCTTAGCAGCCTATTAATGTGGGCTCGTTCTGGGCATGTGCTCTAAACAGCACCCACAAATATGGCGTTCAGTGTATACTCCCTATAACGGAGGCTACGCTCAGCCTCCTCTATAGAAGCCCGGAGCGCGGGCTAGCTCGCGCTTGTAGCTTTGGCTCCAGTCTCAGCTTACGAGCGTTCTCCGCCAAGTCAGATTCACGGCTAAGTAACTCTACAAGAGAGCCATACTGCCGCGAATTGGCGCTACTTCATACGAACTTACGACTTGACGGCATTCCAACAGAGATTCACAAGCCGTCACCAGACATAATTTCGAAATCAATTCATTAGTTCTAAAACTAGTTTTCTCGACTTCTCTGCCTGCAGCCCAGAAACATAAGTCTAGGCTAGTGCTTCTGGGCGGCCGGCACAACATGGACCACATCTAAACAAAAAAAATAAAAATGCAAAACATTAGTTTCCGTATCCTTATAAGCTGAGGCTGCAGCCAATGGCAAAAGAACGAGAGCTCCAGGACGGTGATTTGAGGCGTACTTCCACAGAACCACCACACGCGCTAGAAGTGCACCTCTCTAAGCCAGGAGCGCGGGCTAGCTCGCGCTTGTACCTTTGACTGCAGTCTCAGCTTAGGGGGGAACAGAGTATACCGGCAGTAAAGCGTGAGTAAAGTGACAGACACTCCTGCCCAATATCGCTTCGTGGTCCCTGTACAAGCGCACCAGAAGCTCCAAGAGCGGGCTCCGGCTTCTCAGGCTCCTTGCCGCGCACGCGCGCACGTGCGGTCGATGCATGGTTTCGGGCAAAAGCTCGTGATTGTTGCTTCGGCTTCGCTCGCACATAAAGCGAAATTAACTATAGTTCATATTTATAAAACCGCAAACGCCATGAAGAAAAGGAGAAGAATGGACACCATAAAAGCATTGTAGCTTCACTTTTCTGCCGTCAGCTCGGAGCACGCATGAAACAAAATCTTGGACTAAAGAACACCGGTATGCCTGTTTCGATTCCCGTCGTTACCCGATTCCATCTGGAGAAGCGTCGTACCGGCTTGCATTCATATTATATCCGAATGGCGTGATGCCTGCTATATATGCAAGATTATAGATTTCGAACTGCATTGGCTAAATTACTGAGCTGACACATCAGACACACCTTGCAGCAAATTAACTTTCCGCTGTCTAAATTTCCATAGAACAAGTTACTTTTGATCAACCAATATTTCTAAATTAGTAGAGCCTATTTCAAATAAAAGTTACCTTGTTGATGAGCTTGTCAGGCATGTTAGAACGTCCTTTAAAAGATAAATAGTCCTTTGGAAGTAGGAAGACATGAACCGCCAGAAATCATATCCGCGTGACTGAAGTCGAATGATTCTACTTCTTCGAAGGAACGCATACCCGAGGATTAACTTCTTTTTCATTTATTTGTCGCACCGTCGTACACAGACATAAATCTAAAGAAAAAAAAAATACGACTAGCTAATACGACCTCCGAAATTATCTTTGTTCCTTTTCTTTATGCTCCCCCCCCCCCCCCCCCAGCAAACTAATAAACGTACTTTCGTTTTGTTTTTTGTTTGTTTTCTATAAGGGGGAAGTATGCAAAAAAGAAGTTGCCAGAAGCGGTAACTTTCCTTGCGAGTTGAGCCGCTGCTCCGGGCTGTAAACTGAACACCCGCGCGCTTTATTTTGCCATGTAAGCTAAATCATGGAGCTTAGACAACACGTGGAACGTTTGCACCACGACCGGTTGTGGCTAGCACAATCTTTATCGTCGAACACCTTCGACAAAGCCGACAAAATCAATAGGGAGTGTTCACTGGCGGCCATAGCTGCGTGCGCGAATGCCGAGCGCGTGCTCATGGCGAACTTCCACAGTTCTTTTGCAACGTGCATTCCCCACCATTAAGATTGTCGCTCTTGGCAGCCTATTAATGTGAACTAGTTCTGAGCATGCGCTCTAAACGTTGCCCTCACAGATGGCGTCAAGTGAATACGTTAGTGACTACAACCCTATGGTATAGCCACCCTATATATAGTCAGCATGACGTTATCTATTGGCGACGTGCGCGATCGAAAGCGTCGCTGTGGTCGGCCTGCCCCGATTGGCCCAATGCTGAATTTGACGTCAGGAAAGGATTTTTCATTGACGGATATAAGAAGAACCTAGGAACTTGAATTTTGACGGTTTTGGCAAAGTTGGTTTAAGAGCCCAATGATTTCAAGCTTCCACACTGCTCATTACAAACACCATTGAACTTGTTGTTCGCAAGGTCATGACGTCACGAGAGGGAACCATACGAGGGCACCACCGTAACATCTCGCCGCTAATAGACCGTTCTGATGTTTACAAACACAAACCCTGCTTGCATCTCAAGCGACTTCGGTCGCTCTGTCTTTGCAAGCCTGTCGAGCTTTGTAATGCTACTTATGTCACCAGTGCTACAAAGCATCAATGCTACAAGGACAAAAAAAGTTGGATATTTCTCGAGGGACTTCGGCTTTTCGATGGAACGTCTTGTAGGAGACAAGTTCGTTCAGAAGAATATTCGAAAAATTTAAACAAATCTCGCGCTGCTTGTTTTCTCTTTTCTTTTTTTTTTTTGAGGGGGGGGGGGGGGGGGGGCGGCGCGGCGTTTGTTTGGAGAATTGGTAGTTTTCATCGACGTTTCGAGTAGCGGCCTTAAGGTGGGATTTGTTCATTCTTTTTATGAGCCGAAAGTTCGCTGTGACGTCAATTCTGGAGGACCGCCTATTGAATGGTGGCCATTGCTGTGTGATCGTCTGCTGAGCGCGTGCTGATGGCGAGCTTCCAGAGTAATTTTGCTACGTGCATTCCACATTATCACAATTTCAGGACTTATCAACCTATTAATGTGAGCTTTTTCTGAGCATGCGCTCTAAACATTATCCACAAGCCCGGCGTCTCTTTTACTGCTTACAAAGATGAACCCCTACTTGCGTCCTAACCGACTTCCGGTCGCTCCGAGTTTACAAGCCCGTCGAGCTTGCTCACGTCAACAGTGCTATAGCCTAAACGCTACACGGACAATAAAGTTGGAGATTTAGCAAGGGCCTACGGTTATACCATTTAACGTCTTGGAGGAGACAAGTTGGTTTAAAAGAATATTCAAAACACTTGAACAGATTTTGCGCTTCTATGTTCTTTTTACGTTCGCCTGGAAAATGTGTGGTTAAGAGTTAAGTGAATGAGTCAAATGACGTTCATTGACACTGGAGACTGAAGCTGTCGACTTATTTGCAAGTTTAGAAATAGTTGGTTTCGCGCGACATTATAGATTTACATAACTTCGGTACAGCTGTGATCACGCGTGGGGGAACGACCCCCTTATATGTGCATGTCCAGCCCGGTCTCGCTCAGGTAATAGAGCATCCCGGACAGGACCGCGACGCGCTTGTCTCTTTTTCCCTCACGTCAACACCAGGCTTTCAAGGAGGTGGGGCGGACTGTTAGTCTAGCGCGTCCAGGGTTTTCGTTCTCTCCTTATCGAAGTTTGGGTAGTCCCATATGAGGTGATGCTCGTCGCACTCTACGTCGCGATTTGTGCAGTAGATGCAGCCCTTGGAGTAGGCTTCTTCTTCTAGTCGAAGCTTTCTTGATATCAGGCTGCGGTCGTGATCTATTGCAGCCGAAGCGCTGACAACGGTGTTCTTCGCTTCTGCGCCCATCGCTGGGTGCGGGCCGGCGTGATGGCGGCTTGGGCTCTGAGTCTTCTCAGCTTGGCCGTCTCTTGACGTCGAAAGAAACCCCCTCGTGGGAATGCTCGCTTTGGAGCTCGCCTCTGGCATTTAGCTTCCTCTCCACTTCTTTTTTCATCGCGAGTTTAATGTTGAGGACGGTGCCCTCGGGCTCGCATAAGTTGAAAGCGGACGGTGGTGGTTGCCCAGAGGGGCCGCTACCGTGTCCTGCTGTCGATACGATTAAGCTCTTCGATCGCCACCTAGTGCTCCCTCTAGTTTCTGTCTATGCCCGCGTGACCAGGAATCCACGCTACGCTTATGGAGAGCGGGTTCGGGTCGTGTCATTCCAGTTGATGCATGCGCTAGCCGGAAGATCTCTCTGACTGAGGCGTGTGCCTTGACTTGTGCCCTAAGTCCCCACATGGTTGCCTGGGAGTCCGCGTGAAGACGCGCAGTTTGTGAAATGCGTCGCTTGACGACGCTGCCGAGTCCTCGATAGCTTCGAGTACGGTATTTACTTCGGCTTCCGGCGCGGATCCACAGCGTTGCAGTTCCTTGCTCTTAGTCACGTGCTTGTAATGCTACGCCACCGTGGTCGCAGTCCATCCTTAAACGCAGCGTCGACGTACACTCAAACATCGTCGTCGCCGCCGCCTCTTCCCTTTTCGTGCAGCCGGGCCAACTTGCGTCTTCTGCCGGCATTGGTGGTTGAACTCATCCTTCTCGGAATTGGATAGGCCGGGATGACCGTCGTCTTCTGCCGTGGCGGTATGGGATCCGGTATCAGTTAGTGAGCGGTCTGGGCACGCAGAGAGCTCAACGGGGGCATGATTTCTGATAGGGCTCTGCCCTGTCGGGTGTGCGCCAGTTTGGCACCGTACGTTCGCTCTTGATTCCGCTCGATCTCTTCAAAAAAGAGTGCATCAAGACGGCCTTCTGCAGTAGGTCCAGGCGCGTGCACTTTGGCAGGCCCGAAATACAGCGCCGTGCGTCGTTCATCAGTGTTTCTACTTTGGCCCGCTAAGCGGTGTGGAGTTTGTTGTAACTCAGGCCGTACGAGATCTTGGATGGCGGCTTGGACCACGACCCTCGCTAATTTTTGTACGAGAACCCGGCCGGTGTCGCCAAGCGTCGGGCGATCGAAAGTCTTTTTTTCCACGTGTCTCGCATACGTTCGATCCAGGCGGTTGGGTTGCCGCCCGAGTGGACGTTCACCCCTAAAGTGAAGTGCTCGGCCACTTTTTCGATCTTCTGACCGTCAAAGCGCAGGTCCGCGCCTACGTTTTCTTAGCCCTTGCCAAAGGCTAAGTATCTTGTCTTTTGGGGTGACGGGCGTAGTCCGGCCTCGTTCAGGAAGTCGCTCACCACGGCCAGGGCCCTTTAGATCGTTGTCTCGGGAAAGGGCGCGTTGTTACTCCCCATAGTCCACGCCGTGATGCTGTCCGCGTAGACTGTGAATGCCAAGTCCGGAACGACGGCGAGCCGCCAGAGGAGCGGCGCCATCGCCAGGCTGTAGAGCATCGGCGAGAGCACTGCCCATTGTGGCACTCGTATTTCGTTCGTCTTCTCTTCGCTGCTGCAGTGCTTGCCGGTCTTGACCAGGTATTTTTGTCCACTCAGGAAGGCCTTGATAAAGTTCAGGGGTCTGCCCCGCACACCCAGTTTTCGGGCCGTGCCAATGACCGTCGCTGAGGTGGGGTGTCGAAAGCTTTTTTTAATGTCTACTGCCACCAGGAGTAGAGAGAGAGGTGGCGTGAGAGAAGCAGGGGAGGTTGCTCTAGCGGGAATGCTGAACTGGTTCCCCAACCACCAGGAGTAGTCGTTAGCAATGCGTCGGCAAGTTCACTCAGTACTCGCGAATGAGGACCCGGCTGTCCTGCGTACCAAAGTTCTTGCAGAACCCCGTCTGGGCGGGACGCACCACTTTTCCTTTATGCTCGATTATCCAGTCGATGCGTGTGAGCACCATACACTCCATCAAGTTGCTGAGAATATTTGTGAGCGAAATAGGGCGCACGTTGCTCGCGCCGCCCGGCCTCTTCCCTGGTTTGGGTGTAGGGCACACCGAGGATATTTTCCATTTCTCCGATATGTTTCCCTCGTGCAAGGCGTCGTTGATTGATCAGTCGGTCAGACTAAAGCACCTCGATATGTTTTCGTTCGATAAAGGATAAAACACCTTTATCAAGGGGCTTTAGGTCAGACGGGTAGATTAACAGATCTGCCCGTCGGTGGAAAAAAAGAAGAGGACGCCTAAGTGAGTGCCACGTATGTTATTCGCTCCTCCGATTCAGCGCTACTTAGCTCGTTCATTTCGTCACCCGAGATTCACAATCAACAACAAATAATTGCTCTTGTCGTCAGGACCACGGAATATCTACATATGAGCAAGTAGGTCCACCCGGAATTTCATTTTCGGCCCTTTGAAAATCGGAACCGGGACGCACCCGCTAGGCCTAAACAAAGATAGGATTGCCCAAGTCTATGCGGCGGGCCGCTCAGCCTAACCACGCCTAGGGTCAGCAACTTCAGGTCCCGTTCTTCCCTTGACGGACCCTGTGCCGCCCGAAATGACCTCT